GCCTCGCTCCTGGCTTCGTTCTGGAGTGGAGTGCTGACTGTCCTGCCCCAGCTGAATTCACTGACCCTTTGCAGCACGTGAAGTGATCAGGGTGATGAAGAATTTAAGGTAGGCTGAGATCACTACAGGTTTCTCTCATTCGTGAGCTTTGCTTCTTTACCTGACTAGGACTTGTGCCCTCTAGTAGTGTGGTGGGGTTTGGCCTCAAAAAAAGAGGCTTAGAAGATAAAGACCCGGAGTAGTTTACAGGAAGTGAATATAAGTAGAGCCCCTGATTTCTGTGATTACATTCAAGAAACCCTAATCAGGCTCTTTACACCAGAAGCACCTTCACAGCCCACCTCAGGCTCTGGTCAGGCCAGCTCCTCCAAACAGCAGCTCGTGTTTGAACTCCCTGTTCCCAAAGCAAAGCCTTCCCTTCTCTAGCGTCACACGGTCGGTGTCACTAGAATCTGAGCTCCATTTTAAAAAGCATTAAAAAAAAGACCCCAAAAGGTGGGAACCATGTGCAAAACGAAGCTCCATACTGTGCCTATGGGCTGGTGTCCCAGCTCGTTCCCCCAGCGCCGCTCTGTGCACAAAGCCACGAGGCAGCAGGAACACCTCAGCCAGACAATGCGTTCAGGATAACTCGGAGCGAAACGCAGCTCTCCTAGGAAGCACCACCCCGAGCTTCTGTCCAAGGGAGTCCGAGGGGGAGCTGCAGCAGTTAATACCCAACAGGCCCTGCCAAACATCTGTGCTGTGGCTACACCTCCCTGCCAAGCCTGGCTGCTCCCCGACGCGGACAAAGAGCAGGGGAAGGACGGGGGGGAGGCTGCTACCCTGTCCCCTATCTAAGTGGAAAAAATCCCTGAGACATATGGTCTTGCATAAAATCACCACCCGAGAGAAGCCTGGCACGGTGTGAGGTTAGTGAGAATATTCTAATTACACGAGGCTGAGCAGTACCTCATTGGCAGTCGCCGAGGAGAGCAAATGGAGACGACAAATCTGCGGGTCACGAGAGATGTGTTTTAGCAGCACCGGAACCTTTACCCCCAGACTACTAAAAACAACCTGAAACCCATTACTTATCGAGCGATGCGACCAGGAATCGAGACAAACTGTTACTTTCCATAACAGGATAAAAAAGTTGTTTGGGCTATTTATTTTTCTCCTCATTAGCGAGAGCAGTCTGGCTGGGAGGAACACGTCCCCGAGGACAGCCCGGGCTGGGCCGGGCACGCAGCCCTTACGTAAGGGAGCTGCCAGGGCCCATCCCGTCAGCGCCGCGGCCGCGCGGGCTCGGCGCGCTCCAGCAGAACATTATACGCTTTGTAATATGTCAGGGAATGTCAAATTAAGGGCTGCACGGCAGTGAAGGCTCGAGCAGAAAGCATTCTATTCCAGGCCATTGATTCCTTTTAACAACTACATACAGTAATTCCCAAAACTATCTCCTCAGTCTCAATCACACGGAAAACATAGCCCAGCGTTAGCTCTGAACCTTGCACCCGGCGCAGCTCGAAGATTAGGCCGTCCAAGGGGATTAGGGAAGATGACTGATTTAATCAGAATAATTCTTTTAATGATAACTTGCTGCATTGCTCCTCCCCCCTCCCCTTAACTGTCTAATAGTTTGCTTCCTGGATTCCCAGTGCATAAACCGAGCATATTTTCTTCCTACAGGAAATGGTCCAATTAAGTTGATGTATAATTGATAATGAACCGTTTAAGCTGATTTGGGCCTTGAAGAATGGTGCAGTCAGCTGGCTGAGCCCCTGGCCCAGGGGCAGGAAGCAGAGGAGCAGGCTGGGCACGCTGGCCAGGCCAGGCCGAGGTGGTTCAGCTCCAGGGAGCCAAGGGGGCTCGGGCAGCAAGGGCTGCTGGACAGTCCTGCAGCCCCTGAGTACTGCTCAGCACCCGAGGGCCACGCTGGCCCCGGGGACATGGGTGAGCAGTCGTGTCACAGACACTGAACCAGCACTCTCTGGTCCCACCTGTGGCAGTGGTTAAGCTTTCCATCCTCCCTAAATGTGACCTCTGTTGCCTTACAGCAGGTACCAACAGGAGATGCTGCTGGACTCTCACCACCCACCGTGCCAAAGCCAGGGCAGCAGGAGTCAGACATGGAGAGAGGCTGGAGCACATCTTCGTGGAGCCAATGCAGTAAGTTTTACAAACCTAAAGGCTGAAATTGCTCCTAACACAAAACAGCTCCTGCCTACCTCGACACAAGTGACTCCCCCTCGCTAGACTTGGCTCTTGTCCCTGCCAGGGCACCACCTCGCAGTCCCACACAGCCGTGGGCTCCTCTCCCTGCTGACTTTTTGTTGGGGCCGGGGCCCATGGGTCTCTCTCCCTGCTGACTTTCTGTTAGGAAGGCAGACCCCGTGGAGCCCTTTCCCTGCTGACTTTCTGTTAGGAAGGCAGACTCCGTGGGGCCCCTCTCCCCGCGGAGTGCGGTGACAGTGCCTGTCCTTTTAGAATATTCTGGGTGGTGCAACTGCTCAGTTCACACGCCTTGAGCAACTTTTTCTGTCAGCTATGTTTAAGGGTGGGATTGCCACGTGAAATGAACAAAACCTTGAGCACCTGCAAAACCAACAAGCACAAAGAACTGAGCAATTCTGTTTCTGACCCTTCCCAGTTCTTAGGAAAGTTTGTAACGACTGAAGATAAGGTCAGACCAGAATTGTTCTTTCTTGAACTACATCCTCTAAAGCTCTGCATGTATCAGTTCCTGTAGCCTCATCTGATAAGTTTTTGTGGGGTTTCCTAAGTACAAAATATATTCAAGTCCCTGTATTAAGCACTGTCAACTCACTTCAGTACAAAAACGTGTTTCAGTCTGCGCAGAGCTGTCATACGCTAATAACGTTACTAGAGTGAGTTCCCTTAATCTAACTTTTAAAGGCACAAGCCTCGTCCGATTCTGCCTGCAGAGACAACCAGACAATTTTCCCTCCGTGGTGTTTAATTGAGGGTCTGAGGTTCTTACCCAGCACTGAGCTGCCGCGTGGCACAGAAGCCGTGCCCTCCCCGCGCGCCGCGGCTCACACTGCCCTGCTCGCTCACGAGGCCACGCTCCGTGTAATTACCAGCCAAACCCGTCAGAGGCTGTTCCTTGAGAGCGCAGGAACTTGCCTTCAGCGTTTTGCTTTTAAGCTCTGGAGTTTTGCTTGGATTTATTCACCCTGACAATGCTGTTTAGTTACGACTTCGTAAAGTTAGATGCTAGCGGCGCCAGCAGAGTGGGAACTTTGGAGCACAGCTCCCTGTTCCGAGGTCTGCATGCAGCGCTGGAAGTGCTGCTCCATGTCACTCGGCAGAAACGTGCAGGGCCTGGTGCAGCTGCAGTCCTTGTGCACCTCGCTGGGACTTCATCTGGACTAAGCCGCTATGTGGTGTGAGCTCTCCGGCGTCTGAGGCAGAGCTGCCCTGAATGTCTGACTGTCCCGACTGCCAATCCCTGGCCACTATCCAACACATTCTGTGTCCGGAGAAAATAAGTGGGAGAAGGTGCTTAGCCTGCAAGCAGCTGCAGGAGCAGGTACTGCAGACACTCGATGCTAAAGCTCATCACAATTTTTCTCACCAGCAAATGTAGATTAACTGCTCAGCTCTCCTGGACTATGGTACAAATATAACGAGATAGCAACCAAAAAATCTCACAGCTGGAGAGATCAGGGTGGCAGAGGCTCCTGCATCATTCCTCTCACCAGTTCTGGGCTGCAGTTTGGCTCAGGGGTTTACTTGCTGCCGTTTTCTGTCAGCAGTGTTCACGGAGGGTTTCACAACTGCACCTTTGAACCTGCACTTGGGGCCACACTCTGTGTTTGATGTGGGTGTCTCCTCTGCCTCTGGCCTGGACTCAGCCCTCCCTCTGGGACAGGCCAAGTCTGCATTCTCCCACTAACTTGCAAACTGAAATGGATTTATAATTGCAACTGGAAAGGAAAACTATTCTGTGTTAAATTAGATCTGCTTATCAATACTACAGATTATGAGAATGCATTGCTACACTGTGAACCCCATCACAGGAGCTGAGTTAGAGCTAGGGCTCACCCAAAGTCCTGTCAATACAGCCACGTACACGCCAGAAACCCGGAGCAAACAACTCAAACCCTGTCCATGCATCCTCCAGCCCTGCTCTGTGCTAACAGCCGAGTGCTGACACGCTCACTGCAGCTGTGAGCAAACCCAGAGCAGCTCGGGAGCTCTGTGCAGGAGCAGACCTTGCCTGGGAGCTGAGCTCGCGTTTCCTGACAGTGCTGTTACCTCGGGAGGAGCTGCTCCACTCCCTGTGCCTGGTCCTACTCCACAGCTCCGACATGCACAAATTGGGATTTTTGCACCCAGGTTTTTCACCAGTGCCAGCAGAAGCTGGATTGAGGCTTGTGCAAACACCATCTGCCAGATCCTATCAGAGAAGCTTCCCTTGCTGCCCACACAGAAGGGAAGGTGCTTGGCAGCTCCTGGGAGGTATAAGTGAGGCAGGCTGGCACTGCTACTAGCCAGAGACTGCCCAAAAATACCTTAGCTGGGAATGGGGGTAATGGGACAACCTACAGCTTGTGCTAATCTCCTGTGTGTCTGAATTACAGATCCTCAGAAACCTGGGTGAACGTATTGCTGCTGCTCCTCGAAGCACAAGAGGAGTGGAGAGACCTGAAGGCTCTGATCTGCAGGTCAGTGACCCTCCTTGGAGGGGAAACACTGAGCACAAATGTCTTTACTCCTCTCTCTGGCTCTGTCTTGACACATAGATTTTGCAAAGCGGTATCCTTGGAAACATAACACAATCAGCTGGGGTTAAACATTCAGCTCTCACAAACAAGCCTGTCACTAGTGCCTCGATGTTGCATCACTCGCACCAGCACAGAGCTGAGTCCTGGAAAGTCCTGAGTCCTGTTTCAAACAGCACAGCGTGAGATTTTAAACACTGCAGTTTAAGCAGTACCACGTGGGGTGCACTATCTTCTCAGGAAAATAAATGTCACTGCATCAAAAGGCTGATTCTCTCTCTTTAGACTGTGCAAGGAAGATTCTGAAATTACAGGGACTTCCACCAACAAGAAGGAAAACAAGTTGTTGCATTGTGACATTCACACACTGCTCAAGGGAAGCGACAAATTCATGACTGTGTAATATCCTGTATGTGAGTAGTATCCTCTTGCTATTTAAAACCAAAAAGAAAGGAAAGGGAAATGAATGATAATAGGAACTCTCTCAGAAGAAGGATTGTAAGATTGGTTTTGGCTGGACGTTGGCCAGTGGCGTGTCTGCACTGTGCTGCCTACATGCAGCAGCAGCACTGTGAACCTTGCTTAAAATACTGAGCCTTTGGCAGGCAAATAAATGAGATGCCCACAACCAGAGATGCCTTCTTGACACACACCTAAAATACTGTCAAGCCACTAAGCACAAGCAAAACATTCTTCTTGCTTTGATCTCCCCTTGCAAACCACAGGAATGGGCTGCATGGCCTCACCTCAGTGGTGAGAGTTTCTCCTGCCATGCTGAAGAGTGGCACTGGAAGTCTTATCACCTACTGGGAAAACAAGTGCTTGAAGTCATGTGCCTAAGAATGCTTCTCTGTATATGAAGATTTGGGCAATAACTAACTTGCACTCACTCCTCCTGGTTTTAACCACTTATTTTCAGCAGTCTCCATTTTTTCCAGACTAAACCCCCATCAGCTATTGCTCAGCACACCCCCAACCTCCCCACACATTCCCCTCTCCTTGTGCACAGCCCTTGATGTCCACACAAGGGCTGAGTATGCATGACAGCAGCAGAGGTAGTGCTGACTTACAGAGCTGCATCCCTAAGACAATGGGGAGGGAATTTCACCTACTGCAGTTATTGACTTAGGAACCAGTTCTGCCTGAAAAATGGGGCTGCAGAGTATGCTGTGATCTTGAGGAAATGTTAAGCTTATTGCCTGATACTCACGGAATCGATTATCCCCTTGAGTGCTTGGAATCCTCCAGTGACAGGGAAGACTTGCTCCTTCACATCAGCAATTCTTTCCAGCTTTGGAGAGAAAACACGTGCAAACACGTGACTCATCTGGCACACTGAATTCATCACATTGCTTTCCACCCTGAAAATTCAGATGGATGTCTAAAAGCAACCCTCACCAACTCTGCAAAGAGCAGGAAACTTTGGAGCTCTCTCCCAGCTCACCAGGAGTTTTCTGGGCAGGAGGACTCACTCCAGCTGAGCGCAGCTAACAAGGTGGTGGCTAACCATAGCAGTAAATGGCACACTGAGGACACCTCTCAAGGCCTGTATCCTGGCAATGACATTGTCACTCTGGCCAGAATTACCTGCCCTGTTTGCTTTGCCTTTCTTTCTCTGTGCCTTCTGCAGGAAAGAGCCTTTTGTGATCCTCTCCATCAAAGTCACTTTGACGGAACAGGAACAGCTTTAGCCTTCACTGGGACACAGCAAGTCTGGAGGAGCTTTCAGGCAATGAAGGACATGGATCCTGCACACTTTTCCTTATCCCAGGGCTGTTATATGCTGCCTGAAACTTGTCTGCAGTTCTGTGACCAGCACCCTGCCCTGGTTGCCATCCCAGTGAAGGGGTTTGCTGCACCCTCTCTGCTGGCAGCCCCAGCTAGCAAGGGATTTCCAACGGGTCTCCTTGGCAGCGAGCAGGACACCCACGCGTTCTATTTACGTCCACATACACATCTGAGGGTGTTTCCTGAGCCAGAGAAGACATTATACTGCCTAATGTAAGTGAAACTAATTTCTGTGCTACTTAACATTAACTGTGTAACACCCTGGGATGAGGTGGTGCCTAGTGCTCTAAAACAGTAACGTTTCATTCTTACCTGCTCTTGTTCAAAATCATGGACTCCCACACAGTAAACTCTCGCTCCCAGCTCTCTGGATTTCCTTGCCTGTCCCACAATAGAACAGAGAGATGAGCATTTTTGTTATGCAACAGGCAACCCCCAAGCTTTGCAGAGCACGAGGTGCATTTCCAGCACACACTCACCTCCTTCTCTGCATACAGGGGAATCTGCCCATCCAGCTTGCCATCGGTCAGGGCAATGATGATGCTGGAGAACCTCGAGGCTCCTTGATTCTCAATCTGCACGTTAGCCTGACAACAAAACAATGTCTCCAGCGTAAAATTACTCGGAACCAAGATGCATCTGCTAAACATCAAACGGAGCATCGGAAATAACACTCGGCCTCGCCCCCAAATCCACCTCTCACCACGATCCTCTGCCTCTCTAGGACTCACTGCCCACAGAGAACTCCCTCGCTCGTAGTTTCCAGTCCCCAGTGAGCCCATCTCCCAGCACTGGGGTCACTAACCTATCAGCCCTTGCCAACACTCTGTTCTTCCAGGCCAGACCTCTTTAGATCCACTGTTAGGGTCTCCTTTTCTCTCCCACAGATTTCAAATGCCAGTTAGTATTCCAAGATATGAAAAGAATGGCTTAAAGCTAAATTACTTTTCTAACGGCCACAAAATTCTCCTTGTGCAAGTTTTCAGCACTCAGATCCCAGCCACAAACGTGGCTCCACAGGCAGAGAGGAAGGAGCCAACTTGTCTGTAACAGTGAACACTCAGATCCTCACCTTACCCCTCACCTTCAGCAAACCTGCACAGCACCCTTCAGCCAGGAAATACAAGCAGCTGGGAAGTGTGTGGTTAAGACAGGCCAAATTCAGAGCGTTTGTGTGGCAGGGGCTGCTCAGAGCACTAAGCTCTCTCGGAGAGCTCCGGGAGGTGCTGCGAGCCCTGCAGCCCTCGCGAGCTGCGTGGGACTGCTCACCATGGCATTGGTATGCTGGGGTAGCGCTGGGATTCACAGCAAAGAGCCACACTCTGCTGACGAGGATCAAGCAGAGAAATTCCATATGGCAAGTTTCTGCCATGGCTAATCTTGAGCACAGGGTTTGCACAGTGTCTGGGCAACCCTGGGACCACTCAGGCAAGCAGAAAGATTTGAGTGCAACAGACTGAGGCGTACAATCAATCCAGTCGGGTTACACGTTGCTATTCAAAGGGTGAGAATGTGTTTTGATTGCAAGAAGATGCGTAAAACCTACCTGTTTTAGTCCTTCGTGTATATATGTCTCACCTGCTGGTTTCACCTCCTCCAGATCCTTAAGACCTTTCCTGATTTTCTCTCTGCAAACAAAAAGGTAAGAGACTGTGTGTTTTGAAGTGGGGAAAGGGGGTGGGTCATCCATTGAAAAAGCAGTATTTGTCCCAGAGGAGGTGTGAAGTGAAAAGCTGTAAATCAGAGCCTTTAGCTGAGATCACACGGGGGAGGCAGATTGTGCATTCCTGGCAGGAGTGGCACTGAGGGAACAGGCACTTCAGCCCCAGCTGGCACAGTATGCCCCGGGGAGCCTGAGCTGGGGGCGAGGGTAGCGCTCAGGTGGGCACACACAGGGGATGACACTGCCTCGGCATCGTGCAGCCCTGCAAGTTCTGCTGCCTGGAGTTAAACCAACCGTGCTCACAACTGCACTGCAACTACAGCCAAAATCCCCTAAACTAGCACTTCTGTTTTGACTAATCTTCATCAGGTCGAACAGAACTGCAATAATTAAAACCCTTACCCTTAAAAGGTAAGTATCAACAGGCAAGTGCAACATTTGCAAGATGCCCTTTGAATCCAAGGAAAAGGGGTAGAATTAAGGACAGCCTTTAATTCTTAGCTGTCACTACCTCTCTGCGAGACCTCGGGTAAGACATCAGCGTCACAGGTCACAGCTCACTTCAACAGGCTGTGCTGTGATTTCTCACGGGCACTTCAGCAGATCCATCTGAGAGGTGCTCACTAACCATGGGGATGAGACTGGAGAAGTCAGTAGGGAGCTCAACAGGAATTATTCAGCACAAATGGCAGAGAGACTTTACTGAAGGACTCAGGTCTGGAGGGTCTTCACTCTTCTGCAAGCAAAGCTCCAGTGAAGGCCACAGAAAGTCGTGGTAGGAAAGGACAAGTGAAAACAAAGCAGGGACAAAATCCGGGCCAGAATATATGGAATACTGCAACAAACCTAGGTGACAAAGAGGAGCCCAGTAGGGGTGAGGAGACAGAGGGAAAATACATGGCAGGATGCATGAAAGCCTTTCCTAGGGCAGACCAAATGAGAAGGAGTGCATATGCCACTGCCTGAACGCCACCCACTAGTCGTTTGTGCCACGGATGGGCTATGTTTAGCAGCTCCGCTCCAAAGCACAGTCCATAGCTGGAGTGAGCTCCCCATCACAGGACCCTCCGATACGACTGGGGGGACCAGAGAGAACATGGCACGGAATGTATGGAGAGGAACAAGTTATGTAAGAGAATACAATCTGTTCGGTCCAAATATTTTACATTCGGCATCTATAGAAACAACTTGTGAGTGATTATGTATGAACGCAGATTAGAAACCACACGGCTGGGGCTTGCCAGAAATGAGTGGCAGCACATCACAGGCGTCAGTGCTCTGCTGCCAAGAAACAAGCAGCAACTCAAGTCCCAGTTTTCTGAAACAGATTTCGTTTTGCAAAAATAGCTTTTGTACAATCAGTTCGGTTCTATTTATCTGCCATGCCTTGTGACCCGGTCGCACAAGAATCTCTGGTGCTGCCAGGCCTCTGCCTGCAAGGGCTTCCAGGAAAATCTTTGGCAGCCTGAGCTTTCTTAGCTGCATTTAATCACTCCCCATCTCCTTCCCTCAGGGCACAGCTGCACTGGGCAGACCCAGCCAGATGTGAACAAGCTCCACACGTGCTCCAAGCTGGTCTGGTACAAGCAAGTCCTGGTCTGGATGTTAGCAGGTCCGTGCAGGTGCAGGACTTGGGGCCCAGCTAACAGCAGGAGAGATGGACTCTGTCACCCTAAAACTCACCCCCAGGTGGTTTGGAGGGTGGCAGTGTCTGCCTGGACCATTCTGCCAGCAGAACTCTGTGCAGCCAGACAGCCCCAGCCACACACTGCTCTCAACACTTCCCTCTCTCTAGTTTCTGCAATAATTGTTTGTAGCCACGGAACTCCCCAGAGAAGGTCTGGTTGCATAACTCATCTGTACTGAGGCATCAGAGCCCTGCCCTTGGCCTGGGTGCCTGGACACAGCACAGCTCAGGAACACAGGCCCAGGGGCCACTGGCTTCAGGGTTTATGTCAGATGAGGGAGGGAGGTGGAAAAAGCAAAGCAAAACCGGCAACTTGCAGCCTGTCTGTGTTTGGGCTGAGTGAGTGCAAATTTAATATCTCTTCCCCACTCAGCATATGTGCTGCAGCCAATCTCTGGGTTTCAGCACAGGCACATATAATTTTTAATAGCTACCCTGTCAACAATCTCTCTAAGCTGCGACTGCCTCAGCAGCTCTTCCAGCTGTGAATGTCCATGCAGTTCCCAGAGGGGTGATGTTAGCCCCTCGGGGTGGGGGACAGTATCCTGCATGTTTCCCAGGTGGCATTCTGCCTCTTGAGTCTGGAGCTGTCTCGGTGTGGTGAGGATGAGAGCAGTGGCAGGAGACAGTGGCCCCCACTGAGCACTCGTGGTGAGGAACGAGGCTCATCTCTAACAAACCAGGGCAAACAAAACAGGTCCTTGGGGTTTGCTGCTTAGAAGGAAGTGCAGTAAACAGGAAAACACACCAACTTGTAAGTGAAACCAAGGAGGGGGAAGTGTTCTCTACCAGAGAGAGGGATGGCCGCGCCCCTGACAAGGTGAGCTGCACTGGTGAAGGGAACCCCTGCACACACAAAGGGCTCAGATCACTTACAGTCATTATCCTGCTCCACACCTGAGGCCTCCTGCACGGGCTCCAGGTGGAAATCACAGCAGTGGCCAACCACAGCAGCAGAGAACAGGCTCTCTGCAGATTAACTCTGTTCTGGCAAGCTGCTGGAACCCAAGCACGATGAGGCTCCAAGTGCATCCGTGTCTCACACATCCTGTGCAACCAGGAGCAGTCAGTGCTCCACCAGACCAGGGACACACTGCAGTCAGCTGGTCATGTACCAGGTACTCCAGTGTCCTGTTTTTCCACCTTCCTCCACTAACATAATCTCTATCTCCAGCAGGAGTTTTGCCCAGGCAGAGGCAGCAGAGCTGGTCCAGGCACTGGTCAGGGATGCAGGAACAGGACTCCATCACACAGTTGGCCAAAGGAGACCTCGTGCCAGCGGGATGATGTTCCCGAGTGCATCTGCCTTCCCAAACCACTTGTTTTCCAACACTGAGTCCCAACGTGAGTGCACCAATCTTTGTTCAGCACTTAGCAGTTTCCAGCTCAGCTTCACAAACGCATGTCTCCCAAGTGGGCTGTAACCATTGTGAGAAGGCTTTTCCATCTGGGTGTTGTTCTGACTCTGTGTATTTATTGTAGTACTGTGTGCACTGTGATTAACAGTGACTTCTGTTTCCAGAGTTAGTCACAGAGCACTGTTCACAGCACAAATATTTGGGAGTTTGGGGGCCTGGGCACTATGGTGTGGGTTTCTTGATATCCACAGCCTCGTTGTGCTGTAAAACCCAGCACGAGCTTTGTGCACACAATCAGAAGCCTAAGACTTTCAAGAAAAAAAAACGCCCTAGTTTGATCTAACTGCTAGGAAGGAGTTGTGGTTTCCTGACATTAGGGAACTAGCAAGTAAGTGAGAGCAAACCCATGCCTGAAGTCCTGAGTGCACATAACCAGCCAAGGCCACAATCACACATCCACACACCCATCCCCAGATCGCAGTGTAATTAGCATCCTCATCCTCCATTGGGCATGATGGGAGCCAGACAGCCTCACTATTTTTCTTCTGTTGACTTCTTTAATATTTCAGAGGACAGCTGTTCCAGCTGCAGCTATCCTTTCTCACCTAGGTACTTATGGCCAGTTACTAGCCTCCTTCTCCATTCTCCTCCTAATTCCTCCTGAACAACAAGGGCAGTTCTTTCCCTCCCCCTGCCACACTCAGGAAAGCATCAGGCAAACCTTGTACTAAAGCCAAGTCTCCCAAAGGAACCCACCAGAACTCCAGAATGTACTCCCTATGCCTCAAATGAGGCTTCTGAGAGAGGTCAGTGCTGTGCATAGCTCCAGGCGTGCCATGCAAACAGCCCTTGCGTCCCCATGGCAGAGTTCCAGTGTCCTGCCCCAGCACTCCCAGTGCTCTGTGTGCTACCAGTGCTGGATAAGGAGCAGGCCCCTGACAGGCCTATTGAAACGCAGAGAAAGGACCTCATTGACTTCAGCAGGCCTCACAGCAGGCTCAAGTGTCCTCTCCTGACCCCTCTCAAGCCATCTGGAAAAATGGCTTGTAACCTTGTCTCTGCCCCAGTCCTGGTGGGGGAGGTGAAAACTGGCTGCTCTCAAGTCAGACCACTCTTAAATGGGAAACCAGGAGGGGCTTAGAACAGGGCTTTTAGACATCTCAGATGTCAGCTACATTTCTGCAGCATGACACATGTCCGTTGTCAATGACAGGTCTCTCCAGGAAGTCAACAAACCAACCAACCCACAGCAGAAACTGAGCAGCTCTGGCAGACACCAGTTTGCACTGACAGCACTGAAGGCAGCAGAAAGGAAGGACCACCTCACTCCCACCCTGTCCCAGTTGGCTGCAATGGTTCCCAAATGGCCCATCCACACGCTGCAGACGCAGAAGGTGGTGTGGTGTGGTTAGCTCCTGGACAGAAGGCAGAGAGAGGAGGTTGTGCCAGTTTTGACAAGGCTGAGAGGACACTGAAGGACCTGACAGCAGTGCAGCTCTCCTCTGCTGAAAGCACTCATTCTGTGAGATTATTTCCCAGTTCCTGTCATTTCAGGCATTACATCTCTACCTGGTTTCCTCCTTCTGTTTCTCCCACTCATCCCTGAGCTACCCTAGCTGCTAATCCTCCTTTAGAAATCAGTGAGCAGCCTTCACTTCCATTGCCTTTGAAAAGACCAACTGAAAGAGTTCAGGTCCATCTGTAGGACACCACAGCGCTGGGAAGATCTCACACCCTTTGAGTGGCACCAACTCCACTGTCTAAAACAGATTCTTAAGTCCTGATTACAAACTACAAAACAAAATACCTACCTTATGTGAGATTATGGGAAACATTTGTTTACCATTTTATGCTTTTCCTAGGCATGAAAAAATCCTGCAAACTTATCTACAGATGTTGCTCTACAGAAGTAAATGCAAGAATCATTCTCCTGCCAGAGGAGACGCAGAGTCATGCAGAGATGTGGAAACATTGCTGGTAGCTGTTCTGCAAAGCAGTGGCAGAGTTCACCTCAAGGATTTGCTTCCCATCATTCCCCTCCTCCCTTGTTTATGAGGCTAGCTATTGAAACGATCACAAAATTAAATCAGCTCTGCACAGAGGCTTCACGGCTGGCCCTGACACACCACTCAGACATATCAGTGGTTCATATCTGTTGCTTCTCCTCTGATTCAACAGGAGCCCCCAGGGGGAGGGAGGGGAGAATTAAATGAGCAGTGTACTGACCTGTCTCCAGTTAGAGGCATAATGACATGTGCCTGGGTGGAGAACACAATAAAGGATAATCTCATCTTGGGGCTTTAGAAAAGAGAAAGAGAAAAAACATTAGAGAAAGAAATGTAAAGATGCACAGCACTTCATTCACTTTTTCAGACTTCTTTCACATCTTTATCCTCCAGCTTCTCAGGAACGTGCTTTTGAACGAAAGGATTTCTGCCCATCTTGTCCTTGCCCAAGTGCTTCGAGAAAGAAGGAACAGAACTACTGCTCTCCCTGCCCTGACTAGACTCCAGTGAACGTCAGGGCTGTGCCCTCCCCATGCACGGAGGGGAATGCAGACTGTGCCAGGAGCACGGGCTCAGGGCATCCTCCTGCTCCCCACATAGAACAGGGACACACTTCCCCTTTCACCAGACTGACACAAGGTCAGGTTCCAGCCCTGAGTTCTGGTCCCCCAATCACCCCCGTCCCAGCAGCAGTGCCTGCTGACTGCCCCAGAAAAGCAGCACGTAAACTCGTTGAGGTGAGTCTGGGTTTGGTGCAGTGGCAAAGTTGTGAGACTGGAGATCAGCTTCCCTAAAAGTACCCAGGGAAATGTCGTTATAAAAAGCAGCACGGTGTGACTTGATTTTATTAAGGAATTCAATGGGTTTTTTTCCAGAAGCCCACCTGTCTCTTGGAAAAAGGTGACAGGGAATCATACCCAATTAGCAGCAGAAAACTTAAGCAAGAAACTGGGGAAACAGCTTCAGAACTGCCTGATGCTCTGGAGGCCCAAGACAGAAACTTTCCTGAGGTAAGTTGTAGCATCTCTCCTACCTGCTGTTCATTTTGACTCATCGCATTTCCAGTACATTCACTAACTCCACCAGTCACTGTATATGTGTGTCAGCATTAATCAGGTTAATGTCCGTGAGGACTTAACACTTGTAAAGCTGAATGACCATAAGTTTTCAGTTCACTGTGGCTAACGAACGTTGACAGAACGGGAATGTAAGTGCACAGGACTGCAGAGGCCTTGGGGTTAAGATCCAGCCTCACACTACCCTTAACAACTCTGAATACAAAAACCCGAGATGCTCCAAGTTAAATCAGAATCAAAACCACAGCATTATCAGTCTGTTTAGCTGCCAAACAAAAACCAAGTACTTGCAATCCCCAGCTCTGGTAATTGCATCACTGCCTAGTCTGAGTACCACGGGACTTTCCTGTTTGAGACAACTCTGTGCGCAGTAACCCCCAGGCTTTAGCTAACCTCTCTCCTGTTCTCTACCTGAGCCACCCCACCCCTGCTCCATGAGCACTGGGATGATAACACAGCCAGACCTCCACACAACTGTTGCAGGAGGGAGTGTCACTCGGCTGGAACAGATGCTGAACCAAGAGGTTTGCACAGGGCAAGCAGCAGCCTCTCTCAGGGAGGGCAAACGTTTTACCACTTGCCCCAAAGAAGTGCTGCTTTGGGATCCTCAGGCTCTATTTTTACTTTTTTTATTCTACAGCTTACAAAATAACTTTGTGTCACCCACTTGATGGAAGTTTTACAGAAGTTTATGGAAAATTTGCTTTCCACAAGATGAAAGTAACCAATAGTAAATTACACAAGCTTAATTGTATCCCTTTATGGCAATCCAGGATTACAACTGCACGCTGCACTTGGATTTACTTAGCAAAACCTACCACAACATCCCTCCCTGGGTGTGGGGGGATTCCTTTGGTTTATTCTGGGTTGTGTCGTGGCTTTCCTTAAAGCAAAAACACTGCTTCCCAGCACTCCTCGTCTATTGTTGCTGCTTGCACAGTGCAGAGCCAGCCAGGACTCACAGCAGCCTCTCTGGGGCAGTGGGACTTGCCAGACAACACTGCCAGCAGTCACAAAGTCGGTTACATGTGTGTGCAACAAATGCAGTGTTTCACGG